AACATGATATGATAGGCAAGGGACGGACCAAAATCTTCAGTTCAAGTTGCTTAGCTGCTGGTATTTGAAATTGCCGATCTTCAAGCCCCTCCCTTTTCAGACATTCTTCTTTCCTTCTATCCGTTAACATTTCAAACAAAGTGGCTTAATCTCCATCTTCATCTGCGGTGCTTAGCAAGTCGTCTATCGTCCCCTCCTTATGACCAGCCACTGTCTCATGATTGGGCTCTCTAAATGTTTGCGACTAACTGACATCGGCAGTATGTTGTTACCGACAAAGACAAGGGAGACTGGGATGGCCACTTCTGGCCTATTAGTCGTCGTCAGTCATTTCCGACCCCGAAGTGTGGAAAACCTGGCGTTCGAACTCGCAACCTGTTAACTAGAAGTCAAACGCCTCTAAATACTGGGCCACGGGCCAGTTTTTCTGTCGATTATATTTGCTCGTTAAGTTGAAAATTTTCCCCATCCCCAATTAGGCTTGTGAGGCGAATTCTAACGGCTCTGGTATTATCGTCGGAGACTAGGTCCCTTTGAATTCTGTCAGATAAAAACTTATACCTTTCAAGTACCAACATTCTACTATGATCTTTAACGTCTATGACCGTGGCCAGATGCCACCTCAGGGACTGTGGGTTTACTGCATGTCATCCGTCTGATTCAAAAATATGACGCATGGGGATTTTGGCATTCAAAATATCGTTTGTAGAAGAAAGCTTGTTCATTAATGTTTGCCTTTCTAAAGCCACTTCTACCATGGCATGTAAAAATCTAAAATGTGCACCCAACGTCTGTTCACGCCATATACGTTCATAGGTCTATACGTTTTGGATCCCTATGCCACATGCAATTGCGTCAAATTTTTTATCTGGCCAAAGGCAATAGACCATCTTTAAATTATAGACTTTCAGAGATTTTCTATACTTCAATGTGATAAGTTATTTGCAAAAGCGTGAAATCACGCCTGAAAACCTACTGACGCAACTCAAGACTACCAAAATATTGGAAGTCCTACAATGGAAGTATTTTCTTCGTGGCCCTCTCGAATAGTGATCACTGACCTACCTGCGGGCCGAAACCCGGCTTCGAAAAGTGGTTCGAGTCTGCGTTTCAAAAGTGGTAGCCAAAAGGGCGGAATTTTTAAACCGCGCAAAACAAACTAGTCACTGCATGCGCAAACTATGGTTGCCACTCTGGCCTTCATGTAGATCTGAGCAGGTTCGCTCTATTTTGTCTATGTGCACAAAATACAGCACTTGAGGCGGTCGCATAGCAACGAAGGACCAGCAACACAAAAACAAGTATTTGAATTCGGGTAAAGATCCTATCTATTAAGCAGTTTCCAACCGAATTTGAGTTTTCCATCGAAATATTTAAAACTAATTCGGTGATTTCTCGTTAAAACAAAGTTGATTCCCTACAGTGGTCACAATTACAAATAGAGATGATCACCGTTGTGCGGGTCCAGCAACCGAGGATTTTATAACGTTCTTCCAGTTTGAAAGCTGACAAACGTGTTATAATTGCGGGTTTTACATATTGCATTATTGTATAGAGCCCTCAATGACTTTCGTAATTAGGCAGAAATCACCGTAATTCAGGGACGTTCAGTTGGACGGGTTTATAAATTTGAGGAAGGCGGTCAACATATTCCGAAGTATTAACATAGGAACATAAAAAGTCTTCTTGCTGGAACATGTGCACACGAGTCGTTTTTGTCTATGTGAAGAAAATAATTAATTCGCTAGTTCATTTAAACACTAGCGAAATTTAATGATTCGATTTACTTCATGATAATCCGCAGTATGCTTCCTAACTATAAAAAGAAATTATTTGCTTTAAAATTTATAAAACCCCATCGAAATAAAGAGAAGTCTCTATAAATAGACCGTCTGTATAGTCAATCGTGCCAGATGTAGATACACAACAGAGGGGGATCTATGTTTTCATCTTTTGAAAGCGATACATATCTGCTTTTGTATGACGACATGTACCGAAGGTAATTAGTCAAAAGACGCCAGAAGACTAAATAAGATGTGTAAACTACTTTAGCAGTATTGAAAACACTTTTGGTTGTTATTTATTTGACCTTTTACTGCAAGAGAATTTGCCATATTTCTACTTCGCCTGTAAAAGAGACTAAACGCAAGGGCCTCAAAAATAGAGTACGAAGCGCATTGCATAATTTGACGACAGTGACAATGGGCGCAAATACAGGTCGTGCTGAGTTTAGTTAGGCTTTCCCTCCGTCGTATGACAGAATCGCCCCCCGGTGCGATTGCGTTTAATGTGTCTTGCAGTGGCAACCTTGAAAAGGCGACATGTCTTCTATCGATACGGTCTTTGCTCTTCTCTGAAGTATACTTTATGGTGGGGGAGGGGAGGAGAAGGGTAGCAGATTCCGACAAAGTGGAATGCACCTGTCGACTCTATCTCAGAGTAGTTATGAAGCGAATCATAGCGGTCGCGCTAGCAGTATCTTTTCTAAGGTGAATTTTGACATGGCCAATGGAAAGTCGAACGCAATTAATAGGAAGCGTTTCCTCGAGTGCCTCTTATTTTTAAATTATTTGCAATCCTTCATTTCAATTTTTTGGTCTTTCCCGGGCCTAAAATGAAATTCAGGAGATGCTCATTTAGAAATTCTAAAATAAAACAGATTATCATCCTAAAAACACTGCTGGCCTTTTTAAAATAATAAAAATTATATTATTCAAGGTCCGTTGAACCAGTTCTAGAATAAGTATTATGTGCTGCAAGGTAGTCAAGGGCGTTACGGCTACGCCTCGACCACATAACATGGGCCTTGAACTCTGACAAAGTACAGACAGCAATATATAGGTTTTGAATAGAGAGCTCTAAGTCACACATGAGTAGCGTTCACGGACCTAGTCTGTTTACATTGGCCCACGGTCTGGGACCTGAGAACATGCAGTTCGGGCAGACTATGGAATGTCAAAAATTTTTTAAATCGATACATTTTAGCGACAAATGCAGGGGCGCCACAATCTTAATTGCTGGTGCGCCCAGGGGTTCAATCCGGGTCAGTAGTTTGTTTAGTCAGCGTAGGATGCTTTCTGAAAATTGGAAATATTTCCCAAAATGCAGGATTGCAAGTTTTTAATACCTGATGGCGCTCAATACACAAGTATTGCCAAAATGGCCATATACTGGGAACTATGTTTAACATCGAAGGGAAATGTTTTATCTTAACAGGAACTTCAAATGGTATATTACATTGCGATGTTCTCTCCTAAAGGTTTGCGAGTTTGGTTGAAGAATTTTACTTGCGATCCCGTCTACTTGGTTGCCATCATAGCAGTCCAGCCTTAGACCTTTTACTGACTGGGGAGAAATTATCGATTAATATGCTTCAGCGACGGAGTTCAGCATCATGGAGTAGGTTTGTTGGGCTTATGGATGCTCCTGCATTGAGAGATTTTTTCGGATGTAAATATAGCATAAATGTACCTAATCAGGGGCTAAAAGTGAGTACTAACCTACTTATCCTTATTTTAAGGTCACATTTGAGTGTTAAGATCTACGCCAAATAGTTTCTTGAGAAATCTATTGAAACTTAGAGCATAACATAAGCCCGCAGGTTCTTTGAGCTAGATCGCAGTTGGTAGCCAGGAATGGAGAAGCGGACGGCGACCTTAACCCCAATCCTAACATTAACCCTAACCCTAACCTCAACCTTAAACGTTAACCGTTAACCTTAACGGCACCCCTAACCTTAAACGAAATCGTAGGTGTAACCGTAGACCTTAGAAATAGCCGTACCTGGAAAACCTAACCGTAATGTTGAAACCTAATCGTACGCTCAAACCCCAACCGTAACCCGAAAACCTAAGCCTAAGGGCATAACCCTAGCCCGAAAATCGGAAACCATTAACCGGTACCCCAATCCTAACCTCAGACGTAACGCGGAAGCCCAATGGTCAAATGTGATTATGGAACCTCACAAAATAGTCCCAGTAAACAAACCCCCAGCCACCTGCAATACAGGGCCTGGCTACCAACTGCGATCTAGCCGTTCCTTGAGGTCAATTCTGCTGACGACTCGCGCTTACGTAAGGCCAGATACGGATAAGATTAAGTTACTTCGTTTGTTCAGTGCTAAGTGGCCAGGGCTTCCT